AGAAGAAGAAGAAGAAGAAGAAAAAGGAGAAGAAGAAGGAGAAGAAGAAGAAGAAGAAGAAGAAGAAGAAGAAGTAGGAGAAGAAGAAGGAGAAGCAGAAGAAGAAGAAGAAGAAGAAGAAGAAGAAGAAGAAGAAGAAGAAGAAGAAGGAGAAACCGACGATACACGAACGCCCAGCGCTATAACTCGGTGACGTCACCACGACGAGAGCCAATGAGGCTCGGCGTCGGTCCGTCGCTAGGATACGGCCGGTAGAGACCCGGATATCCTGCCGTGTCGGCGATCGTGTATAGTGGAGCTTTCCCACCGATGTTCGCCGACGGAGCAGGACCGACGGGAGCGTAGTCTCCCGTACGGAAGCGATCCAGGGCCGGTCCCCAGGCCGGATCCGGTCGGACGATCGTCTGGATCCGCTATCAACGCAAAAGATATACACATCATACAGTATCATCACGCACAGGCACTTAGGGCGGAGTCATTAAAAACTGAAAAGAATATGAACGCACATTCAGAATTACTACCCCTCAATTACCCATTAGTTTCTGTGAAAGCAAGTTGATATACAGTGACACAACAGTGGAAGTGTAATTGAGGGGTAGTATTTGTGAATGTGCATTCATATTATTTTCAGTTTTTACTGACTCTGTCCCAAGTGCCTGTGTCATCACGAGGTATTTGAGGTCGTGAGTAATGGAGTAGTAGTAGTGGATTAATATTATATATTATATATTTTACATTAGTAATAGCTGTTTGAGCTAATATTAGTAATAAGAGGGAAGAACGAGAGAGTGGTAGGCGTTAGAATGGCACATAACGACGCATCACGTCTTGCCTATATTTTCATAGTTCGTAGAACTACTGTCGCGTTGTATACAGTTTACATCTAGTATATTATATAGTAGAGTATGAGTAGAAGATGATATAGTGAGAGTATATTATAGTATATATTACTGAGTTGTTGTAGTAGGGCGCGGTGGTGGCTGGAGGTGGTTATAACCATATATCTATATACTGCGGGGAAATATCTTACATTGGTGGAGTAGCGATAGATGTTGATGGCTCCTACTATAGGTATCACCGCCACGGTTCCAAAGGCGATGACCCAGCCGAGAACCTCTGCCCACTTAGGGTATGGTATACCCTGTGAGGTCGGCGTCTTGTAGTCGATGAATGTGAAGACCAATATGGCCTGTGGAATGATCAAATTGCATCTGACATGTATACCTTTTCATCTTTGATTGGAAGTTGTCTGTGGATTTTTTGTGGACCTAGAGCCTTAACTATTAGAGATACACAGGAGACGTTAAATTACAATTAGGAAGGGATTTTTTTATGAGATATTTATATAGAGCAAATTGCCGTTTTGCTCTCTGGTCTTTCCTCTTATTTCTCTCCCTCTCCTCCATCTATCTCTCCCACCTTTTCTCTCCCTCTCCCTCTCTCTCTCTCTCTCTCTCTCTCTCTCTCTCTCTC